GCAAAAAGATTTACCTTTTGCTAAATTTTTCGTTAACATGATCTTGTCTTAAAGATTGAATATACTTATAAAGTTTCGTTCATAAGATCTGTCTCGTAATACGAACTTCACAATGATGTTCCTAAATTTAATACCCGCAGCTTTTAATTCAGGTTTTTTTTTGAAGCAGATGTTAAGCTTCTTCTAGTTGCTTTTCACATGCCTTTTGCTTCGCTTTTTGCCTTGAGTATTGGCTAATCTAGCATGAGCCTCTGATAACATTTCCTTCTCTGCCTAATTTTAGAAAAAAATTAAAGGAATATAAATTTTGTGAACAATGTAAAGAATAATAAGAATAAGAAATTGACAATACCATCTTCATCCATATCGACAGGATCGAGTCTTGCAGACTTTGTTTCTGGATCAGAGTCAATTTCTCCAGATCTAAGTTTTTGAATATCTTCAGCATTCAGATCTGTATCACCTGCCAGTCTAGTCAGATTCATTTCTTTAGCTTCTGCTTCATCAAACAATCTCTAGTATCTTTCAAGACATTGAGATACATTTTTTCGACAATTGGAGTGATAGTTTGCTATTGCGTTGGCATTAATTTTGCTAAATAAAGGAGTTTTACATATTCTTCTTTTGATCATTCAGTCTAAATAACAGTTCAAATAAATTTTTTTATTATAAATTGATAAGTATTTAAAAAAAAAATTGTATAATTTAATTGTTGCCAATAGACAAAACATACCTTTTAATGCTAGAATCCAGCCATTCATACTCTCTTGTTCTTGTGACTTTCTAACTAGCAAGAATGAGATGAGGACCTACTAATTTTTTTATATTTGCTTTTAAAATCTCGTCTACAAACCAAAAAAAATTAATTAATTTCTTATAATATCTACGCTGTCTTATTAACTTTAGTCGCTTGCCTTCAGTGTTTTTATAAATTCTACCTTTAATTATCCTCAATTTAGAGTTTTAGATACAGTATAACACGTATAATAATAAAGGTCTAAAATGAATGTATTTATCCTCATGCACTAACGCTATTTTAAATATTTTCTTGCATAAAATCTAATGATCGTAAGTATTTAGAAATGATCAACTAAGTTTTTTTGCTATTTATACCTACTGGTATGTGTTAAATTTTTTATACTTGTATAAAATCCAGTGATCATAAATATTTAGAAATGATTAACTAAATACTTTCGCTTGTCTTTGGCGATCAGTGATTATCATTTTATCAGTCTGGTAAAAAATCCAACAAAAAAAACCAAAAAATATTAAATATCTGGTGTATAATATAAATAAGGTTATATCGGGGCAACAAATTTTGTGTGTAAAAATCTTGTTTTTACTATCAATTGTATTTTTTTTACAAAATTTTGATAAATTTTAATTATTTGTGCAATTGTTAAGATTCATTATATATACTGTATATATTTTTTTTTAAAAGCAAAAGATTTTATTTTTTTAATAGCAAAAATAGTATAGAACTACAAGCATGTGTTCGTACATACGCATATATCAGGCATTGATAATAATAATTGCGAATATATATCACCATTATAAACATCACATTAATACATTGATATCATATTTAAAATTTTTAAAATGTGATGTTATAAGCAATACCACGAAGAAAATGCATTAAAGATCTATTATTTTGATCATTAAAAACCATCTGAATACGTTGTTCACGTTCAATATTATATCTTCTTTGTGGAGGTCAAGGTGCTCCCTGCAAAATTGATTCAACACAAAGTTGAATGTTGTTTTGTTCTTTTCTAATTTCTTCAATCATTTCTAGAACTCCAATATGTTTACGACCAATTAATGTCTCCCACTGTCAGTGCCAACCTTCAACAGAGTTTATAGTTCTAGGATAGGCTAATTCAGTATTACTAGCAACTGACCAAAAATGAGGTGGAAATAATGGTTCAGATCTAATTTCATTTCCATTTCTTTGTGTTCGTCTAATTTTACTATGCATGTAATAACATTCAAACCATTTGATTAAATCTTCAGCTTCAGTTAGAAAACTAGTTTTTAACTTGTCAAAAGCTACAGAGATTTCCTCCGCAGAGAGAAATGCAAGCGCAGGAATATGTCTTATCATTAAACTAAAATCTATATCAGTATTATATCTTGCTGCAAGTCTAGATGATTGAACTCTGCGATAAACAGATTGTGCTAGGTGAAATAAGCACTCCTTATTTCTAACATTTTCAAATTCTGTTCGAATTGCATTAATTGCAGCTAGCTCGAAGTCAGTCAAAACTATTTGTGGATATAAATCAATTTCCCACTCTTCACTATAATCTATCAAATAACGAAATAATTTTCGATAACATTCTTCTGATTTACTAGTTGTTAGAACAAAAACAAGCAGTAAAATTCTAGAATTTTCTCCTGTGCCAATTTGTCCATGAATAGTATACAACTGTTTAAAGATGGTCGGAACCATCTTGAAGGTTCCGTCCATCATCCAAAAAGGCGATTGATTCAAATAACGAATATTATCAACAGTTGTGAAAACCAAAATACGATTATGACCTATAATAGAATTCTTGATTAAAAAATCTACACCATTATAAGTCTTTTTTAGATTTTCTGGAACATTGAAATCTTCTAAAGATCATGGTTCAACAGGTTTGTTCAAACGTCGAATTCTTTGAATAGTTTGACGAATCGCATTTCGAGAAGAAAGATATGGAGATACTTGAGGGTTGTTAGCAGTTACAGTTTGTAATATTTGTATTGGTTTATTATTAGATTGTTTTGCTTGTTCCTTAATTTTACTAATAGCTTTCATG